ATCAGGAAAACAAAGGTCGTCCTTTTGTGATAAAACCTATCTCTTCTCCTCTCATGAAACCCTTGCTTGTGTTTGTAAATCCCAAGAGTGGAGGCAACCAGGTGAGTCATTCTTCATGGGCTTAGTGTAGAAGTCTTGATGATTCCTCTTTTTTGTTTGTTTGCTTTTTTACATTTCCACATAGGTGATCTTCATACCAGGAGATAAACTTGCTTGGGTGGGAGAAGAACCTGGTTGGGTGGTGGGAGACGAGAGAAACAGAGAAAGTGAGAAAGTGAGAAATCACCCCTCCCATCCCCAGGGGAATGGCCATAACACAATTCCTTCTCCTCCATTCTCCTCTCTGGATTTTGGGCACACGTGCATGTTTTCAAATTGCCCGATCTGGAATTCAAACTTCATACTTGGCTATGTGGGATCTAGTCACCTTAAGCACCACATTACCTGCTGGCCACAGTGATTTCCTTTTCATTTTTACTCATGATAGAGAATGTGTGCTCATACATAAGAAAAAGAAATACCCTTGACCAAGTCCCATCATTCTGCGATCCCCAGCCCTAGCCCTAGCCCTCCCCTCAGGCAGGATCTTGGGCACATATGCATGTCCAAGGTGCTTGCTCACTTCAAAAACTAAACATCATAGTCAAAGCCTTATGTATTAAACAACTTAAAGAACAATCTTGCCAATCTTTCAAGCTTAGCTACAAGAGACTTGTACACATCATTCTCACAGAGGCAAAAAAAAAAGCATATTCATAAGTTACTTTTACTTGTTTTTCTTAATTTGCCAGAGGGCATGTGTGCTCACCAGAGAGAGACAGAGAGATGGCGTGGGGGCACCCCTCAGTGGAGTGTGGTGATGCTCCAGTCCCTTCTCCTCTCTCCGTGTTAGAATTTGGGGCTCACACATATGCACACATAAAGACACACACATGCATGCCAGGCATGATTTTCAAGCTGTCAGGGCTTCCATATAGAACATGCCAGAACACCTAAGTATTGACATTTTCCTTATGGATTTTCAAGGATGGTCATTCCAGAATTTCTTTTAACCAATATGTCTCTTAGCTAATATGTTTCAGGATCTCTTTTATAGTTAGGAAGCCCTTTACTAATTTACTTTTATTTATTCCTGTTATAATTTAGACTAGCTAGTTTTGTCCCCATCCTTGGAGAAAAGAGAAAATCCATCTGTCACAACACTCATTAACAAACAGCATTAATTCTATAAAAAAAACCCAAAAAACAAAAAAACAGCTTCTGAAGATTTCATTTGATCTCACCCAATCTTATAGTATACTGATATTTATCTCACTTAAGAATAAAGAGGTAGTTTTAGAAAAGTTAAATTAAATGTCATACTGAGAGTGACTTTTTTTTTTTTAAAGAGATTTTTGCTATAGGGCGTGTACACTCACCAGAGAGACAGAGAGAAATGGAAAGTAAGAAATCACTCCACAGGGGGGATGGCCATGCTGCAGTGCCTTCTCCTCAATTCTCCTCTCAGTATTTTGGGTATGCATTCACTCATGCCCTGTATGAGTTTCAAGCCACTGGGTCTGGGAATTGAACTACATTTGCCATGTGGGAGTCCAGTGCCTTAACTACTGTGCTGGCCCTGACACTGCTCTTTGAAGAACAGAATTTGCTCTAGAATCCAGGTTTTTGTCTCTTCATCCAGTTGTCTTTTCATGTCTGAAGTTTCTTATTAATAGTCTTGTTGGCTTTGATTTTCTGTTATTTTTACGTGAGTGTGGATGAGGAAATAGTTTCTTTGTCCAGTAAGTGTACGTTTTCCATTTTGAGACAGATTTCTTGAAATTTCACAATAAATAACTGGAGATTTAAAACTTTGTAATCACTCCTTATAAGGAGGGGAGTCCCATAATTAGGATTGACCCAGTAGACTAAGATGATGTTCTTAGAACCAAGGCTAATACACATTTCCCAGAATGTATTAATTTCAATAAAGCTTCTCTTATGGGAGTTTTTGATTTAAAGGAAATATTATCCCTCTTTTCATCTTTCTTGGAAATTCTTGGTAATTTGCTGTGTTAACTATTCCCTTGTCAACATATTTCTTATTGAAGTCAACTTTCCTAATAACTACTGCATAATTAGAGTTTATATAAAATATTATAACAAAGATGTTTAGATCTTAAAAGTGACTTACCATATAGTTGGACCTAGACTTTTTTTTGGTAATGAAATAGAACAATAATTTAAAAAAATCTGTACCAACATTGTAGAGAACGGGGGAAAAATGTGTCCTAAGCAAAGGCACAATTTATTTTCAATATTCATAAACAAAGGAACAATTTCTATTCAATATTCTGTACTTTCGAGTTGCTGAGTGATGATCTTGGAATGATGGCAATTCTAAGACTGTCACCAGAGGAGGACCTAGGAATGTTTTTTTTTTTTTTTAGGTGTGAGTTTCAATTTGCCCTGAACCATCCCCATCCCCTTAGCTGGTCTCCCTGTGGCCTATCAAGGATTAGAGATAAGGTTGGGAACCCAGAAGAGAGCAAAGCTAATATAATTGGCTCTAGGATTTTGGCCACCTGAGCACCACATGCTAATTAGTACCAAATATACCTTATTATGATGGTCCATATGCATGTCTTAAATCATTATAAGCTTTTGCATACAGTGTACAGAGGCTTGTGAGTTATCTCTGACTTTAAGAAGCTGACAGTCCAGGTAAGGCATAGCCTGTTCTTGTTCTAATCCAATGACAAGGACTTCAGAAGTGATCTGATATTGCTTCCTATTTCACTCCATAGAAAGCAGGTCAAGAAACTTACATGAATTGGCTATGACTATCTTGTTTGTTAATGACATAAAAGGGGCACATGGGAACATTACCTGTATGCGAGTCCTAAATCGAGTGGATTAGATTGCAATTGCTATGGAGTTTCAGAGGCAAGCAGGGACTTGGGCGTGATAAGGAGACCGTGTCTTGGTCACGGCTGGAATTGAAGATGGGCACTATTTAGTTATGCGGAGGAGAGAAGACCGGAGGAATGCACTTTTCCTTCTCTATACTCCAGCCAATTCTTGATCATCCTTCAAGGCTCAGTAGCACTTTTCTGATCTAATTCATGAAATGAATCGCCCTTTTCATGATGTTCTCATAGCCCTTGGTACACGCCTGTATTGTGTGAATTGTAACACACTCTCAGTGTGTCTGCCGTCAGGATATAGACTTACCAGGGGCTGCACCCTTGGGTCTGTGATTCCTGGTGCATGGCATGTAGTAAACAAATAAGTGTGCGGTAAACAGTACGAGGAGAAGAACAGATGTGATGACAATTATGCATGCTGAGGACAACACGGTGAGTGGAGCATGGATAGTAAGCGATTGGGAGTGCGATTAGGGGAAGATTAGAATGAGCCTAGGAAACTGTAAAAACTTGGATTTGCAATTTGTGCAGTGGGAACTAGGCTTCTGCTGTTTAAAGTATTTGTCTTAAAATTCTTTTGGTTTTTGAGCAGAGGGATAAAATAATTGAACTTAATATGCACACGATTTGCTTGTGGATCTTGTTAAGATTCCGATTCTGCTTCAGTGAGTCAGTGAATAGCCCTGAGAGTCTGCATTTCTGTCAGCCCCAGCTAACGCTTATTGCCAAGAGCTACTGTAACCAATAGAGAAAAAATTTTGGGGGGAGTTGAATCTTGATTTTTCCCTTTTAATAATTTACTTATTCTACCATGCAGTTTTTGATGTAAGGCATTCTCTTCCCCTACTTTGTTTAAGTTTCATTTTTTACATTTAATCGCTGAGTATCATTATAGCATACCAAATGGATTTTCCCATCATGAATACACGCATATCAGTCCAGTCACCGACATTACCGTATACATTATAATCAACAGATTTCTTTCCATTTCGGGTCCCTTAAATGTTTTACTTCTTTTTAATTCCCCTGGATTCCCTCCCTCCCATCCTCCTCCATTTCCCACCCTCCACCCCCACTGTCCCAAGTATCCTTGCTCTTTCCCACTGTTAAACTTGGGCTTCCAAGCCCTTTTTAAAACTTGCCAGGCTGCAGTTCTTGAAGTCAATACCTGGCCGATAGCGCCATCTACTGGCAAGAAAAATACCTGCAGCCTTTTTTTCTTTCTACAGTAGTTCATGTAAGAAAAATTTTCAGCATTTTGAAGGACCGTATCAGGATGAACATATGCAAGGACTGCTTCTATTAAGCAGATCATAGCTCTTTTAAACAACACATTTATTTAAAGCCCCATTTTAAATTTCACAATAATCATATATATATGTATACATGTATGTGTGTATACATGTGTATATATGTGTGTGCATGTGTGTGTATATGTATGTGTGTGTGTATGTGTATATGTTCTTCCCTCCCCGCTTCCCCCCTGAATCTGAAGGTAGAGGTGACACTGGATGTTTTGCAAAGCTTTAGAGGTCTTTTTTTTTTTTTGAGAGGTTTTTGCTATAGGGCGCATGCGCTCACCAGACAGACAGAGAGAGACATAGAGACAGAAAGCAAGAAATCACCCCCCAGGGGGATGGTCATGCCGCAATCCCTTCTTCTCCATTCTCCTCTCGGGATCTTGGGCACGCACGCACACATGCCCGGCGTGAGTTTTAAGCCACCGGGTCCGGGACGTGAACCGCGGTCGACCACGTGGGAGTCCAGCAACATAGCCACTATGCTAACTGCTGGTTCCCTTTAGAGGTCTTCATTGCCAATATTTTTGAAATATGAATTACTAATATTTGAGGGAACTGGCCCAGAATCAGTGACCAAACATTCAACTGGAGTGGTTCCTCCTGTGGAGAAGACGTTCTAGATGGAGAATAAAATGTGTATCAACACTGTCCCTTGCTCTGTCTGGAAAATTCTGAAGAGTAGAGTAACAGGTCCCGCCCTTACACTCCTGTCTTCATTAACTTTAAAATGTATCACTTTTCTTTGGTGTTCCTGACTCACTAACATCTCTTGTTTGTTTTTCCCTTGTGAGCTCTCCAGGGAGTGAGGGGAAACACTTCCCATGGGACGTAGTCATGCCACTGCCCCTTTTCTCCATTCTGGAAGGACTTTGGGCATGTCCACACAGGTGTCCG